GCCTTCTCTGCTGGCCTAAACATTCTCAGAAAAGCAAATTTACTTTTCTGAGAATAACAAATTTGTTGTTTTATTTTCATAAATATGTTAACAAAATTATTCTCTGTATTCTTTACGTCATATTATTTCCACTTAGTTGAGTGGCTTTCAATGTTATTTTAAATAACATTGAAAGCCACTCGAAAAATAACTTATTTATTATGGTAGAGTTTTTAACCAATCATATTTCATCTAGCTTGTGTTGCCAGGTTGATTAAACTTGCTCGGTGCCTTCAGATTAAACAGAGCAGCCCCCTGTGCGCTGTAAATGAACGGGCAGCGTCAGGTTTCAATAGCCAATCTATCTAGTCTAAGACTCGTGATCTGTATCCTGTATCCTGACTTGTTCTCGTCTGCCTACTAGGGCTAGCTAGAGGGCCTTACGTCGAGACTGGCCATGCGCATTCGGTGATTGGATTAGCGCCTTTTCTGTTTCCTGAGAATTGTATCCTGACTTGTTTATGCAAATCTTTTTTTTTTTGTTGTTGTTATTTCTGCATAGTGTATTAGCCCCTCATCATGGGCTAATAAAATAGTTTCGGATTTCGAACAAATCGCTTTTTGAACAGCCTTCTGGAACGGTTTATGGTCAAAAACCGAGGTGTGACTGTATTTGTATTTCGTATTCTTTCGTATTTGTGTTCTCTTCAGGATATATTTTGAAATGTATTTATTTGCCTTTATGTTTGTCACCTGCCGGCTATTGTATGTTCTGAGTTACTGAATTTAAAAAAATAATAATAATAATAGAAAGGGCATCACTTTCACATTGGTGAGACAGCTCCACGTTACTTCCGCTTATGCTCCGACATTTCCTGTCTGATGCCGTTACCAGATGTGATCAGGCAGCAAGGTTGTTTGTATGTAATGTACAAAGAATGTATATACAAATACATTCTTACAAATACAAATGCACAAAACATTCCCGTTGCTAAAGCATGATGTCATCGGCAAGACGCGCAGGCCATCGCAAGTCCCCGCTACAAGCTTGCTACCCGATCACTTCTGGTACCGACACCAGGGCCTTGGGGTGGCGTGGCTGCTTTAGAGTGCCTCATTGCCAGCCGTGAGTGCCTATACATCATGGAAAGAATTCTTCTTATTTTTTTTAAGTTCAAGTAAAAATCACCAGAATCTTGAAGGAGAATATATTTTGCAGCTCAAACATGTAATTTGGAGAAAGATAGGAGACAAAGTATCCATTTTTTCCAAGTCGTTGCAATGGTATTTGATTGACAGTTGGTTGGGGCGTGGTTTTTTTGTTATTGTTTGGTTGGTGTCTTATATGAAACTGCGACATTGCGCAATTTATTGGACAGACTTGTTTAAGATCACACAGCGTAATTTGGGTGGCATTTTATTTCGTATTTTTAAATCATCTTTTTATTTTTGACGATCTGTAAATGTAGTTTCCTGCTCTTAATTGTGAATGCATACTTGATCGTTTTAAATGCTCCTGAAATTAAGTGCTGCTTGACGAGCCGATACAGTATTGTGTTCATAATATGTGACGTCACTGAAGGCCTAAGTTTGAAATGCACGGCCCGCCACTGTTCATGTTACATTTAATTGAATTAAATTATGTTAGTATCTGGAAAATTTAAGGACCATGAACTCATACTAGATAGCAGTGAATCAAAGAGAAGAGGTAATGTTTCACTTGTGCATAGCCGAGCCCTCTTTCTCATGCTTTCTGCCATTTTCTTTGTAGCATCAACACTGCTGACCTCAGATGACTTCGGCAGGTTGTGTTTTTGGATTCTAGGAAGTGTTGTGATTGGCAAAGGACATGGGAAGAAAGGTAAACTGATGCAGCATTGGAAGGAGTGCAAAGTTATGCTGTTCCAAAAATGATTTTGGCAATTATGTTATGTAACCTTCAATCTGCACAGACTTGTGTGTCACCACAGTGGAATTAAAAATCATTTGTGGTTGAATGCAGACTTGCAGGGCAAATTAAGAACATACAGTCATTTTGAAGATTATGAAGGTAAAAAATGCTTACACGTATATAAGATTCCTGACAAACTTAAACATGTTTGTGTAGTGCTGTAAGAATAGTTACTGCTGAACTTTCTGTCTTTCTTTTTTTTCCCTGTAGCATAGAAGTGTCTTTTAAATAGTTTTTGTCATTATGATTTTATTTATTCTGCCAATATAGAGACTGACATTACGTAGCTGCCATACGAACGGAAACTGAGGGCACTCTTGGTTCTTCATTAGCCAAATCAGTGACCTGCCTTATAAAGCATAGGTGTCAAAGTCAAAGCTTGGGGTTCAATTCCAACCTGCTACAGGATTTTATGTGGCCCACGAAATAATGTAAATCATGCATGTATACTTAATTGCTCACTAACATCTGTACTAAAGTGAGAAATTGTTTTCAATTTTAATCAAGGTGGGATATTGCAACCATTTTTTAAATTTTTAAATGAAGTTGAAAGAACTTAAACTGTGTGGTTAGCACATCCACCACACAGTTCTCAGGTTGGGGTTTGGAATTCGGGCTCTGGACTTCCTATGTGGGATTTACATGGTTATACTTCGGCTTCCTCCCAGTTTTCCCCAAAATACTTCACAGATAATTGAAGACTCAATTTTCCTTCATTGTGAATGTGAGTGTGAATGGTTGTGTCCTGTACGTGACCCACATTGGGCTGGCAACCAGTCTAGGGTGTACCGTGCCTATTGCGCAGTCATCTTGGATAGTCTCCAGCTCACCCTTGACCCAAGTGACGATGAGCAGTATAGAAAAGGGATGGTTTCACGGTGTTAACGACCTTCTGAGAAAAACGATAACTACTATATGGTCCGAGACAAAGATGAATGTGACACCACTGCTACAGAGCATTCTTTTCACTCATTGAAGACAAAAGTGAAGTCTGCCAGAGCCTCAAACAAGCAGAAAATGTTTCTGACATGTCAATTGTCCGAATAAAAAGTACTACTGAGACCCTGAAAGTGGGAATATTTTGGTGAAACTATTTAAAGACCCTTTAAAGTGAATTCAGAGATTATTTTTTGTTCTGAATACATTACACATCTTTGAAAATAATGCTGGAAATTTAAGACTGAGAATTATCTGTAGCACTCAACTGGGGAGATGTAGCAAACTGGTTTCACTGTTTCAGGTTTCATGATTGTATCCCGACTCGAAAAGAACGGGAGTGCCTTCATTCAGATCAGCAGTTAAGTAAGTGCATGTCGCAACTGTACTTGCGACATACTCAGCTGGCTAGCTATGCCTGCATTCCGACAATGTATCTTCCCTTCAAATAATCTGCTGCCCTGGTTTTAGAGCACTTTGTCGTCAGCTATGAGTGTGCGCATCTCACGAGGGGAAAAGCGAAAGCACGCAAAATGTGGTTTTCGTTATATTTGTATTCTAATTTTATATTAAAATACAAGCTTGCTACTCGATAAACCTCGGTTTTCGAATGTCTCTGTTATCGACCAAATTGGATTTGGACCAGAAAATTCGAGATTTTTACACCTCGGATTACGACTGAAAACCGTTTTTCGACCAAACTGAGCAAACCCGTACACAAGGAAGTGTAACGTTCATAGTGAGCAGACGTGTTTGTTGTGATTTATGCAAATCTGTTTTTTTTTGTTGTTGTTATTTCTGCATAGTGTATTAGCCCCTCATCATGGGCTAATAAAATAGTTTCGGATTTCGAACAAATCGCTTTTTGAACAGCCTTCTGGAACGGTTTATGGTCAAAAACCGAGGTGTGACTGTATTTGTATTTCGTATTCTTTCGTATTTGTGTTCTCTTCAGGATATATTTTGAAATGTATTTATTTGCCTTTATGTTTGTCACCTGCCGGCTATTGTATGTTCTGAGTTACTGAATTTAAAAAAATAATAATAATAATAGAAAGGGCATCACTTTCACATTGGTGAGACAGCTCCACGTTACTTCCGCTTATGCTCCGACATTTCCTGTCTGATGCCGTTACCAGATGTGATCAGGCAGCAAGGTTGTTTGTATGTAATGTACAAAGAATGTATATACAAATACATTCTTACAAATACAAATGCACAAAACATTCCCGTTGCTAAAGCATGATGTCATCGGCAAGACGCGCAGGCCATCGCAAGTCCCCGCTACAAGCTTGCTACCCGATCACTTCTGGTACCGACACCAGGGCCTTGGGGTGGCGTGGCTGCTTTAGAGTGCCTCATTGCCAGCCGTGAGTGCCTATACATCATGGAAAGAATTCTTCTTATTTTTTTTAAGTTCAAGTAAAAATCACCAGAATCTTGAAGGAGAATATATTTTGCAGCTCAAACATGTAATTTGGAGAAAGATAGGAGACAAAGTATCCATTTTTTCCAAGTCGTTGCAATGGTATTTGATTGACAGTTGGTTGGGGCGTGGTTTCACCGCAGCATTTGAGTGATTTTTCATGATTTTGAAACCTCATTTTATTTTAATCATTCATTTTATTTTATTTTAATCGATCATTTTAATCATTCATATTGGCAAGTTTCCTAACACTCTTCTTTTATGGTGTGTCAAATTTAGAACATAATCACATTATAGAGACTTTAAAGCTTAACGGGCAAGTCGTCTCAAACATTTTCTTTCCAATGTTATGTTCTGTGCGCCTTCACTAGTCTAAACACGGCATTCTGATTAATCTTGCATTTGTGGAATATGAATTCAGCAGCAGCAAAGTCCACTCATTTTTAGCCATCTCAAGGGGCAGCCATTTTGCCACTTGGCATTGACTGAAAATGCTATCCCAGTTGCTTGGAGCCCAGGTAACAACTGATCACAGCATTTTGACAGGTGCCTTCAACCCTCAACCCATAATAGCTTCTTGTGCACAGGTCTCGCAGTCAAGGCAAATATAGTCTCTGAGGTGACATTGTGGAAAGTTCAGGAGACCGGATGTGTAAGTAGTAAACAGAAAGCAAACCAAATGTGATTAAGTCAAGCGCGGCTTAGTTAGGAGGCTATTTAGAGGCTTTAATCAAGAGGACATAATCAGCCTGGGAGTCAAACAAACACATTTGTATACATAGGGGATGAACGAGGTCAGTGACTCAGACAAACATGAGGCTCACATGCCTTCGCTGAGACAGTCATAGCATAGCAGGAAGGATGCAATGGCAAAAAAGACAGTGGAAAAACATAAAGTAGCTTCAAAATGAGAGCATGTAGTCACCAGGGTATGGATACAGGCGTCGGACCGGTTTGGTGCACGCAGGGCCACCTGCGTCCGCCCTGTGGGCACAATCGTTGGTGTCAGTCCGGCAGGCTCCGCAGTGGCAGCTGAGGGCTACCGGGTAGGTGAAGGCGGCGCTGGCTGCTCCGGGGCATCCGGGCAACTGGGCCGTACGGTACTCCACCCTGTCGTAGGTGCAGCCTGTCTGGATCAGGAAGCGTGAGCCAAATGTGTCCCTGATGTTGCTGTCCTGCTCACCGTACACAAGCAGCACAGTGTAAGTACACAAAACAAAGCCACAGCACAAGTTTAAAATGGAAACATTTCTAAACTAAAATGACGCACGGTGTAGGTAAGATTTGGGATATCTAGTATTGAGTGTATCATACAACTGCATTCCATTTTACTCAAAGAGCAGAATACCATGCAAAACTGAAAGTTTTTTAAGACAAACGCAACAGTCCAGTTGCAATGGATTCAACGCCCCGAGAATTAACATGACCTGGATGAATCAGAACATTCACAAGCATGTTCATAAAATGCGTTTCAGAAGTCATCAAACACAGTCATTGCACAACCTAGATCTTTCTTTATGACTATCGGTGTTTTGTGACAGCTTAGATACCCTGTGGCAACATGCGGCCACTCACCGGTCAGTTTTGGTACTATGACAGACATCGCTTTGTGTATGGTGTGCCGCGTTGGTCATCTTGAGTCCACCACACATTATGCGCCATATACTCTCATTTTCGTGTGTGACTTGCACATTGCATTTGAGTGCAGATCTGGATTAAAGTGCAATCTCTATGTTCACGTTGTGAGATTTTGCATTGTTGGAAGTCTTTGCATTCTTATCCAATAAAGCATGACTCTTAGAAAATATTTGATGGTGTGCTTGTCAAGGATGTACAGTACGCACCCTGGAGTAGCAAAATCCCATGCAGACGGTGGTGTTGATGGCCACGCAGAAGTCACACTCGGGCTTCTCCACGTACAAAGTGTAATCGGTGGCTATGCAAGTCGGTGCTGCCGAGCCGCAGAGCAGCAAGAGGAGGAAGCAGGCGAACACAGCAGCATTCATCTTCAGCTGGAGTCCGAGTCACGGGGTCACCTAGCAAAGGATGAGAATATTAAAGGATGTCATTTTAGTGTGTGCATTTGTTCTCTCTCTTCTGCATCACCTGCTTGAGAGAAGCCTGGCAATACGGTTACTAAGAAACCTTTGGGCGCTTATATACTCAGTGCACTATACACATAATGTATCGTCTGTTGCCTTGCCGACACTTTATCTCCAGTCTGTGATCAAATGGAACCACTGTGAAATCAGGCCATTACGCTGATGACATGAATTGATTATTTTCTGCCAGTGTCCAATCAAAATAATCACCACCAGTTTCTATGTTCTATGACCAGAGATGTTCCATGAGAGAGGATCCGGAAATGAGCCGTTTCTACTTAATTTTTCAGAAAATGCTAAGTTATTGATGACAAATAATGTAACCTTTGTTCAGCTATTGAAGCCAGTGACGTGCAGAACAATTATCTGCTTTTCCACTAAAGGACAGAAGGCCTGATTACCCTGTGTGTGTTCTCCTTTTGCAATTCATCCAAGAGCATTTTATCTTTGTGTTCCACTAAAGATTCCACACTTAGTAAGTGTATATGTGAGTAAATTGACACAAAATCATTATTTCGGTGAGCAATACATACTTTTGGTGACATTTTTGTTTGGTGGAAATATTCGTGAGATTTTTCCAGTATCATACATACACGTGACTCAGTCAAAGGTGGGAAATACTGCACTAGAGGCCTTGTACTCCTTGTTTTTACTGGAAGGATTGGATATTTCTCATGAGCCTCTCAAATATTAAACCAAGTTTTTCTACGTTTGCCAAAGATGCTCTAATCTGTCTCTCATTTGTGTAAACATTAAACCGGGAAAATGTGTCTTCACACTAAGTTGCCATACTCTTAAATGTGTTATCTACTCTCAGGAGCATAAAAGAAAAAGCATTTCAAACTTGAAACACATCCGGTAGTCTATAAAGTGAAACGTACAGTGATGACCTTATCGAGAATTTTGTTGAATCATTGTCGAGGACATTTAAAGCACGTGGATTTTGTTACCTGATTGTCATTCAGGTGCGGTTCATTGGAAACGCACATTAGTCATTATGATTAGTCACCCTCACAAATTCAGAAATTTTTCATTGAACTTCATATTCTTTCGACCGTACTGTATTAAGTAGATGTTATGTTCTCTTCTCTTTTTTTAATTTATTTATTTTTTTAATAAAGACAATATACAGGTAGACGCAAACAGAAAAATATGTGAGCTAGCTTACAGGGTGGACAGTTTGGGCTAATGGTGTAATGAGCACAGTGAACCTTCACTTAGAAACATCATTCAGTTAGCAAGGTGACCGTGTACTGTTTCACAAACGTTCTGAATTTCTGAAAAGTTTGAAGACTGTATCATTTCATATTTCATTGTGACAGAATGGATATTTTAAGATGGACAACATCCAACTCTGGACATATGAGATGACGAAAACGATCTGCAATTACTTACGCAAATGTGCAACCACCCACTGTTTCAGCTTCCACTGAAGAATGACTAAATAAAAAATTGGCCGTTATGTCACTGTAAACATCACTTCTTTTTTAAAGGAGCAGTGATTGCACCAAGCATTTCCAATATGAAGATGAAAATAGACTATACGTGATTGAAATAGTATATAATGAGCAAACACATTTTAAGAGACCTGTCACTGTATATATTATATATTCGCAAATGTTTGGCCACTTATGACAAGGCCGCAAAATGTCATGATTCTCCTCCATGTTCATGACTGTCTGAGAGATTCACACCAAAAGCACACTGCAGTGATATTATTAACACATGAAGACAAATGTGTTTGTCAAATGATGTTAATTGATCTTCCATTGGATTTCACACCGCACATGGAAACCGAGTGAATGACAACCTCCTTCACATGGTCAGTCAACAAATATTAGCATGTGCTAACGCTAAGCATTTATGGAACCAGACAAACTCACAGGGTTACCGTACTTCATTAGTTCAAGTTAAATGAAATCACCCCAAAAAATGCCGGTTACTGTATCATCATTTTGCACATAGTACACATAATTTGTTATAAGTACACAAAGGTACCTTGACCATGACCACATTCTACCGGCCACGTTTTAAAAAAAATGCTTCACTATATGCATGATTTGAGTATTAAAAATGATCTGTGGAGTGATATTAAATAATATATGACTGTCTGCGGAGATCATTTTGGTGAACCAGCTGCTTTCCGAGATAAGCAGTAGGTAGGAAACAACCTGGAGCTGCTCATTTTTGGGAAATGTTTCACTGAGGGTGTGTCTTTTGTTTTGACAGAACAACAACAAATACACCACGAGGTCAATGCTTTTTTTAATTTTTTTTTTATTTTTTATAAGCACATGAGATGACGGCGGACCAATGCCCCAGGCTGTCTTTGATAGATTATTAACAAAGGGAAATAATCTTTATGGTCTTCAGGTAGCCTCTTACATATCGCGAGGGAGAGGAGTGTCCGTGTGAATCAGTTCTGGTGACTCCACGGTATGTGTATCTATTAGTTGTTTTCGATGAGCTCGGAAAGGACTTTTTCTCTCCCTCACTGCTGCTTTTTGTAATCTTGTTTTTTTTTTTTTGGTCCCCCCCACAAGATTTTTACTTTGAGATATTCTTTCTTCAAGAATCAAGCACAAGGCATCTTCCACACCGGAAGTCAACATGGTTGGCATGGGTGGCCCAGTGGCCACCTTCTCCGTATGGGATTATGTGGTGTTCGCGGGTACGATTGTGGGCGCCGCCGGCGTTGGGCTCTTCCAGGCCTTTCGAGGACGCAAGGAGAACAGCAGCGCCGAGTTCTTTCTGGGCGGGAGGCAAATGTCGGCGGTACCTGTGGCCATGTCGCTCACGGCCAGCTTCATGTCCGGCGTCACCGTCATCGGCACCCCGGCCGAGGCGTACCTCTACGGAACATCCTTCTGGCTCTTCGGCATCGGCTACGTCATCATGTCGCTCGTCACTGCTGAGATTTTTGTGCCTCTATTCTACCGGCTGGGGATCACAAGTGCCTATGAAGTAAGAGGGAGACAAACAAGTCTAATATGAGCGTAATGACTGTAATATAAACTTAGCAATGGAAAAACACAGATTCCAAAAAAGACAACAAAGTCGTTGCCAATCATTTGATCGTCATATTTAATACACAGGCCTTGTTTGAATTTACTACCTTTGAGCCTGTTTGTTTGTAATTTTAAAGATTTTTAATAGCAGTTTTGCTTTGACTGCATTAAGTTTCTCACTTCCATTTTAGTCATGAGTAAATCCATTAATTTTAATTTTCTAGTATTTCAAATTCCAGTTTGTTTGCACAATGTGCAGTTTGTGAAATAACCTCGAAAATGAAAGTTTTATATATTCTCAGTACAACCTTATGTAGTGGTGCTTGGTTTAGTTTAATTCATTCCATGCACAGACGCAGCAGTAATTGAAAATTAACATAACGTTGTCATCTATTGAGTAAAATGGATCTTTAATTGACTTCATATGCAGGATGGCTCGTTTTTAAAATCACGGTGACGGACCACACACACACTTAAATGAGTAAATCGAAGAGAAAGTGGAGCCTGTAGCTCCTCCCCGCTATTTTACTACCACGGAGAGAATACCTGGAGAAAAGCCACGCAGGCATGGGGAGTGTTGATTCTAGAATGAATGACACCTACTTTACCTAAATATTAAGATTCAATCCAGAAAACAACAGCAACATAAATAAGGTTTTCATGAGCTTCATCTCGCCAAAAATGGCAGTAGACTACAGAGCCAAAAAGTAGAATCGGATGTAAATAGTATATTATTGATGTAGTTAATGAGTTGAACTTGGAACTAACAAAATCAGACATAAATCCCCACCCCTGGCCAGCTCCATTACATTTTTATTGACAACAAGGCTAAAATGGTTCAAAAAGGTAGCCAGGTGGACACAAATAGCCAGCATCGAGTGCAGAAGTATAAAATAAAGAGGTACAAGTAAACATGTAACGGGAAGTTTTAAAAAAAGGACTTCCATCTGGTATTTTAACTTGTATGATTACTTTTCATTTGTAGTACCTGGAGATGCGCTTCAGCCGCCTCATTCGTATACTTGGGACCTTCATGTACACCACGCAGACGGTTGGTAACGCAACACAATTTAGCCAGCATGCACCTTTGCAGTCTTCATCCTGACAAACAACACGTGGCTTTGCTTTCCCTGTTGGTCTGATGGAAAATGAAGCATCTTTCCATCTTCTATGACTATGAATGGCAAGCTTGCGTTGTTTCCAATCCAATCAAGTAATGGCGGCCTCTCCTAACAGATCCTGTACACCGGGTTGGTCATCTACGCTCCGGCTCTTGCTCTGAATCAAAGTAAGTCACCAAATAATACATTTTAAAGCTTTAAAACGTCAATCTCTGATGAGTCACATTTAATCTGAGCTGTTTTTTGTTTTTTGGGGGGAAATTCATACTTAGTTGTTAATTGGACTGTTTTTCCTTTTGTCAACACAGCAAAACTAGAAATCACACTATAAGTTCTTGACAAAAGAAAATCAGGGATTTAGTGTAGAAAGATCTGGAGTGTTGACGGCAGTGAATTTTCATCGTCAAAAAAGCACTGCTATACTGGATGTGTGGGAGGTGCCTCAAGAACTTAATGCAGGGAGGTTTGCAAGAAGGTATGTGACTTGTGTCCCGACAAGCAGATGGAGGAAATAAATACAGTACAATGCTCCTGTTAGCCTGACTGAGAGCCGATACTGTGGAGAAAAATATTTCACAAAAAAAGACAGGAGACACTGACTACACATCATAACGACACGCCGGAGTAATTGGAATCATGACCGTTTGAGACTATGACAAAACAAACAAACGTGATCAGTAACTATTGTCTTAGTGACTCAATGACGTGCGCCCAACTTCTCATGCTGTATTTCAGCAAATCATGGCCAGGGACATTTATTTACTCAACTCAACTGCAGATGACAGGGAGGAATTTGCATTGTCAAGCCTTTATTTGTACAATACCTCCAAATCAGCATGGGTGTGCTAACTGCTCTTACGGTTTGTCGTGTAATCCAGTAACTCAACACAGCACATGACAGACATCACGATAGCTAC